TGGCTCTCTGACGGCTGGGGAGCCTGCGCCCCGGGTTTCGGAGTTTCGAGCAGGTGTGAGTTGTGGGATTTGGCCTTGCTGCAGGTCCCATGGGCCATGGCGATCAGTTTCGGATACCAAAGCAGAAGTGAAAAAAGAGCGCTGGGGCTCAAATAGAGCTGAAATAGTAATTGTGGATTCATTTTCCTGTTGACCCATTCCTGAACCAAAGATTTGTAACTTCCCAAATCCATAGATGCCATGGGGAAGATGCACAGATGAGTTTTCTCATCTAGGTTTTACCAGAGCATTAACACTACAATAAAAAATACATAGGTTTTTGGGAATTGAGAGATATAGTTATTACTTGATGCTTCTCACATAGGACCATCATGAACCATACATTTGCACCCCTTTGAGATGACGGGGAAGTGGTGATACTGCAGTCTTTTAGTTCTCCCAAACAAAAGTTGTGTATTGCATTTTTGCTGTAATTCTAAATCGGGCCTCTCATTTATACAGGCTGACAGGATCTTGTATGTGATCCGTGGGGCACTATTGAACATGGAGGCAGTTGCTTCTGAGTGAGAACTTGCTGAAGCTGGAAACAGCATCTGCTGGATCATGTGGGATCTGGGGCCCAGAGCCCCGTTTGTGCTTTTGTGTAAAATTTGGTAGAAAAACTCTTCTCAACTTTGGAGCCATTCTGCCAGCTGCAAATCCCATTGCCATCTATTTTCAGACTTGTACAATACATGAACAGTAAGGGATCTTGGGCTGTGGCTGTCACTTTGCACTAGCAGATAACGAAAATGTTATTGCAGATGTCTTTGAAAATGTGATTCTTGTTGGGTCTCAGAATGTGCATGTGGAAACACTGGCTCATCCAAGAGTAATCATCTCTAAGAGACAGCACTAGTGCTTCACTTTGGAATGGAACAAAGACATTAAGTAAAGGCTGAGTTGCAGAGTTTGTGTTAATGAGTTACAAAAATGTAGAGGCATCAGTTCAGATCTGCATTTTAAAGATTCAGAATTGCAAATAATTTCTTCGCCATTCAGAATGGAGGATTTAGAAATAGACACTTCGAACCACCTTCTCAAATAATGTAAGCTTACTGAAGTTCAGCTTTTTTGCAAAGATGAATTTTTTTAAACGACTGCCATTGATAACAAGGAACTTCATATTTAAAGGTGCACAGAAACTATTGTCATGTGCAACAAACCACTTTCCTGTTTTAGAAACATGAACAGAGTTCAGGACCAACATTTTTGCAAAGGTTAGAGCCTATCTTTTAGCTGTTGTGGTTTTTGTTCATTGTGCAGTTGGTGGAACAAAGTCTGCTGAGGTTGGAAAATCTTACTGTTGTAGGTAAAGTATGATGCATGCATTAAAAAAATGTACAGTTACTTCCTGACAACTATAGAACATACAATACAGTTACTCTTAGAGAAATAAGGTCATCACCTGAGTGAAGAGGTGATGCTTTTCATTACGTAAAATGGAAGGTTTTTCTCTTGGAGATTTCAACTCTGAATGTTCTCTTTGGCAGGTACAGTTCGGCACCCTGTCTTGAGCACACACTTTGAAGTGGGTGTATGCCTCTTAGATTACAGGGTTGGATTGTTAAGAAACTTTTAAAAGTGCCCCTACATATCTTCTAGTGTCCAAAATTCAGAGGTTCCAAGTGGAAAGGCATTGTGTCCTTCTGGAGGCCACAGATTTTACAGGTCTGTTGTTAATGCCTCTGAAGAAATCACTGTTCTTAACTGCTCTGGTAGGGCATTTGGGAAGGCAAGTTCTTATTTTTGTTGTATCCTCCCCTCACTTAGGGCTTTTATTTTTGATATTTTAGAGTGGCAGGACATTGACAGCTAACGATAGTTGTAGAGAGGGGCATAGTAGACCAGCTAGAAGTTTGGCACTCGAGCTCTGTTTCAACACAAAATAGCTCTGGGAGGAATAGGTTGCCACAGTCTCATCTGGAGAAGGTAGACACACAAATGGCAAGTAATGAGAGCAGCCCATGACCAAAAAAAGTCCCTGTTCTTCACCGACTAAAAGTCAAAGAAAGCATTTCTGTCCATGTGACTAAATCTCTTTCCTGTCTCCTAGACTTAGGGTTCATATTTGGCCAGACTCAAGAACCCAAAGTGCTTGAACATGTTTCTTGGAAGTTTTCTCCATGGGTCAGAGTCTGAGCCATATTGGTTGGTATCAGATATGGAAGTAGCTTGTTTTGTTACTTGTACTTTTTGTATGATACTTTTTTTTTTCTGTAGGACTTATGTTTTCTTGGCTTATCAATGTTTCCCTTTGCTAAAATAAAATGCATTTAATTTATAAATAAAATAATATTTTTACAGTAAAGTAATTTCAAGTGAATAATAATTATTCTGTCCCAAGTACCTTTAGGGGTTTAACAATACTTAGTACTTACCTAATGCTTTTCATTTTTCAAAGCATTTCATTCGCACTAATCTCTACAGTCCTGCTGTGATGTTGGTAAGGAACCAAGTTTTCAGCTTCCAGATTGGAGCCTTCAGTACAGGTCTGTTCAGTGCATGTCACGAGACACCAGCCCTCCTACAGAACTACTAAATCAGTTTGTATTTCCGGAAGGCCTGGTTCTTTCTTATTTTTTTAAAACCTATTTGGCTGCAAGAGAGAGACAGATTTTTCCTTGTTGCCTGTCTCCCTGGTTTGTTAGAACTTGTGTCAGCAAAGCAGCTTCATACCTATTTGATTGGGGATTTTGAGTTATACTGCTGGAGCTGAAAGGGTATTGCCCCCTTGAGCCTTTAAGACCCAGTGTCACCTGTGTACTGGCAGCATCTGTGGATGGTTAAAATCATAATTAGATTAAACTGTAAGCTTGGGTCATCTTGAATGGTGGTTGTGGGCCAGAAGGTTTCTCACATGTTGTGTGATCCTGTTAGCAGGGAGGCTTAGCTTCAGCAGCGAATGCTGGTGCTTAGACTGCTGTGGTGTTGAGAATTACAGAAGTAAAAATGAAGTGACTCCTGTGCACTGGACGTGGTAGAGAGAAACGTTGCTGCAAGTTCTCTTGAATCTGTTGGCTTTTCCTGGCATCTGCCTATTTGCATGAGCTTTAACTGATTAGACTGAGAAAAACTAAAATAGACCACCCTGAAATCAAGTTTTTGTTCTAATTGTGGGCAATTCTCAGTTGTGCCATGGCCACTTTTTTGGCATAGAGTGGCAAATATCTGTGAACCCTTATTTTTATATGTAACTGAAGAATTCAGAATTTATTTCCCATGTTTAATCATTGTGATGTTTTCATTAGGGTTTTGTTTGGTGTTTTTTGTTGTTTTTTGCAGCTTGATAATGTGAATGAAGTAACAGTATGTTATACCTGGATTTTGGAGGTCATGGGAAAGGATCCAGGCTTAGAAGGGATTTAGATTTAAATGCTGATTTAGAGTGGAAGTTCTTTGCAGCAAAGACTCTTATTCCATCTGCACAGTACAACGGGCCCCCATTGTCAGCTGTTCTTTGGCACATCTGTGATAAATGATACTTTTTACATGGGTATTCTGATTCAGATATAAACAACATTTTTGTTGCTTTGGGACACAGGCAGGTCTATGTCTTTTTTAAATCAAATTGTCCGGTCTTAACTGAAGCTGACACACTTCCAACCTTACTGCTTTTAGGAGAGGCGGTATGTTTGGTTTTAATTTAGACCTAAGAGTTGTGATGGCTAATTGGCAAACTGATGCTCAAGACATCTGACCTGGCACAGTTGTGAAACCGGTGATACAGACTGCTTCAGTAACATCAGGGAAGTCTGTCTGTCCGCCTTCGATTCCTGACCAGATTAGTGAGGGCAAACTGGTAGGCAATTTGGAGTCTAACGAGAAAAATCTTTTCGAAGCTAAGCAACTCCTTGGACAACAATTTCTCATTCACTTGTGAGCCGAAGGAAAATAGCTTTAATCTAGTCTTCGGGCTTAAGAAAAGAAGGGACAAAGCTGTCTTTCATAATCATACCATTTTTCTTTCAACAGGTTTGTGAGGGTCACGACTTAAAATCTTTCTGTAACCCCTCAAATCTCACTTAAACTTGTATGGGATTTGTTCAGCCTGCATTTGAACATTTGCCAATTTGACTACGTGATGTTTTGGCACTGCCTAATAAATATCAAATGTTAGTGGAAATGTACATATTTGCTCAGGAGTTTTAATTTAGAATCTCTTTGTGAAGTCTCAACCAGCTCCGCATTTCTCATCGGATCGTGGTGCTCTGTACTCCATCCACCCCCTTGCTCTCTCCCAGCGTGTTGTTTAACTAGCTGCATTAACACACACTAGTTCATTTGGCAAAATCACTCGCTGAACTTACTCTACAAATGAGCTCACAGTGCCTCTCCTATAGATGGTACACGGTGGTGATAGCAGCGGGTAGGTGTGTTCTTGGCTGGAACAATGTGGGGAGGACAAGAGAGAAGAATAAACAGCTAAGGCTGGCTGGTACGGCTTCTCCTGATTAGTTATGTGTAGCAGTGGCATATCAGAAAGGTTTGCATGTGCCCTGTACGAAGCTGCGCATGGTCACGCTCACTTCCGCAGCCATAGACGTTGCCACTTGTATAACGATTTTCTTCAAAATCTTAAATCCTGTATGTGATTGAGCTGGTACCCATTGCTTCCTAAATTAAAGACTGTGTTTATAACTAGTGGCTGTAGTGTTGTTCTGTGTCGGTTAGGTAGTTGCCTCTCTGCACTTTAAAGGGACCTGCAGTTTTTCTCTCTAGCTACTGAAGCCATAACCCTTCAGAGCGCCTGGTTAACTCTGCAAGCGTATTTTCAGCTTGAACTGCAGCCACATCTGGCAAGCGTGTTCCACTTCACATTGTGCAATGTCGCTGGTAAACAAGCCTTCCGAGTGGTATTGCTGCCACCTGATGTAATGACCAAAGTTGGGTTTGGTGCCAGGCAGTACCATGACTAACTTGGTTTCAACAATAGCCCTTTGAGGGCACCTGAGAAATTATTCTGCAGTCACAGCAGTCAGATGGGCAAGCAGAGTTGTACAGACGGGGGCTGTTGATGTTTATGCCACAAATAACTGATTATACATAGCGTGCACGTGTGCAAAGATTTCTTCCTAAGTCTCCCTAATGCATTATTTCTCTTAAAATATAGTTCGAGTAGAAAACTTTTCCGAAGTACAGAAATATTAAGGTCTGGCTTTGTAGGAAAGTTTTGTATTGTTCCTTCTGAACTTTAACTGTCCTCCTTCGTTCACTCGTTGGTGACACAGATGCTTTCTTCATGCCATCATAGTTCATTGCTGTGAAAATGACTGAATCACACTGTAAACAGACTTGAAGCAATACCCCTAGCGTGGAGTGAGAAGCTGTCGAAGTTGTTGAGCTTGTATTTTGAAGTGTGCATGTGTATTTTTTTAGGCATGTAATTCAAATGGTGGAGGCGGTGAGAAAAGAATAGTCTTGCAATGAAAGAAGAAATAGTAGCATCATCTGGTTTTTTTTGTCTTCTATCCAAGCACAAGCCCTGAAATGTTGTCTAGGTATTCCTGTACTGAGCCAGATGCCCCCAAAATGGAAAACTTGTTCTGCCAAAAAATTAACCACAATTTTGCCACAATCTACAAAATATTCCTTGTACTGAAATGTTGGAGTATTTTAGTAGCGATCATAGGAGACACACACCTCAGTAGGGACTGCGGTTAGATAGATGGACAGCGCGACTGGCTGCATTTGAATTGTGTGTGTTTGGATGTTTGCTTTTTTGTTTGGTTTTTAAGACTGTTTCCAAATGAGTTGTATCTAGTTTAATCCAGAGAAGCCAGAAAGATTGGCATTTAACAGAAGAGTCTTCAAAATACTATGTTAATGTAGACAGGCATGTATTACTACTAACAGGATTTCAGGCAGTTGTGGTTGCTTAGTGTTTATTTAACAGTCATACCCTAAGGCAGATCACTTGCCTCCCTAATTGCTGTCCATTTCTGTAGACCACTGTGTGCTGTGAATAAAACAAGGTTGGAGAGCCTGCTGAAACACCAGTGCAGCCAGTAATGTAAATATGACTTTGTGTTTTCTGATAAAGGCGCGG